AAGGAACCACCTTAAGAGGGTCTCGGTCCCCAAATATCCGTGGGGCAGTTCCAGACCAGGGAGAAAAACTGTGCCCTGCCTGTGCCCTCTGAGCACGGAGCCGGTGGAGATGAGAGGAGTCACAGAGAGGCTGGATTAGGTTCAGTGAGAGAAAAGCCTGTCCAGTGATGGCAGAGATGCCCTGAAAGGTGGTGAGCTCCCTGCCACCAGAGTTGTGCAAGGAAGAGCTGCGAGCTTGCGCAGGAGGGAGGCAGGTAGAGCATAGCAAGGGCAGGGAATGGGTGCAGGGTCTCAACGCTGCAGTTCCTGGGGCCCAGAAGGACCCTCACCCACCACTAGCTGTGTGAGCTGAACAGAGGCTTCACTTCTCTGAGCCTCTGTTCCTGGTAATGCTGCACTGAATTGGCAGGAGAACAATGCATCTGAATGACTTGTAGCTGAGGATACCTGGTAAGTGTTAGGATCTCCCAGGTCGAAACAGGGCATAACAGGTTTGAGCCGCACTGCCCTGTGCCAGACCAACTCTTTTCCAGAGCAGAAGCCCCAGTGGGACGGTGAGAGGCATTACAGGCCACATGTTGGCCAACATGTTCACCACTGCCCCAAACTCGGTCAAGGAGCCGCACCCAAACAATGTGGCCATTTCACCCTTGAAGCTTTCGTTGGAAAGGTCAGACTTTGACCTTCAAAATGAAAATGACTTTAAAAGGCTGGGGCTGCAGGCAAAAGTTAAACAAAATACAAATAATTTCAAACTGGAGCAAAATATGCAGATTTTTTTCTGAATGAACAACAAAAATGTTCTGAGTTTAGACTGAGTTTGTGATTTGTTTGTTTGTTTGTTTGTTTTTCTTATATTCTTTCCAGAATTTTTATAACAAGAAGTGCTTGTTGGAGGGGGTTAAAACTCATAATTTAGAATGAAACAAAGTAAATGTGCAGCCCTGGCTGAAAGATCGTTGGTTCGATTCCCAATCTGGACACATGCGTGGGTTGTGGGCCAGGCTGCCAGCTGCAGGCGTGAGAAAGGCAACTGCTTCATGTCTCTCTCACACATCAATGTTTCTCTGCCTCTCTTTCTCCTTCCCTTCCCTTTTCTCTAAAACAAGATAAATAAAATCTTTAAAAACTAAATGTGCATAAAAAGGCAAAATCAGGTCACTTCACCAGATATTTACTAGTTCTCTTAAAAGCTCAAAAGTTAACCAAGACCCTCTCGGTTAACCAAGAGCCACCGGTGAGTGGCCAGTGAGTGACACACTGGCCCAGCCAGTGTCAACTAGCTCACAGAAAAACAGGAGGTGAGGTCAGGACTCAATTATGGGCAGATGGTGAGCAACGGCCAGATATGGTCCAGGGGCTCTGTGAGTTCAGAAGTAGGAGAGACTGCTGCCTGTGGCGGAAGCCAGGTAATGCGGCATCTGAGATCGAGTTTAACACAGAGAACGGTTACCATGGTGGCAGTCAGCAGGGAAGGCTCCTCAGGTATGCAAAGGCTTAGAGGTGAGAAAGTAAGAGACGATGGATGTGGAACATGTTGAGGAGCTCAGCAGCCCCTTAAGGGAAGATGTTGGAGGGAAATTTGGGCCCCATTTTTCACTCCAACTTTAAACTAGAGTGATTTTTTTAGGATGCTCCCTGGAAAACACGGGGAGTCCTTCCCTCCCCAATCTCTGTCCACCCCACCCCCCCCCCCCCGAGCACTGGGAGCCAACAAAGTGAGTGATGGCAGGCTAATCATGGCCACTTGGATCTGAGGGGGGCCCCTCGTCTCTCTGAGGACCCTCCAGCAAGGACAAGTGCAGGACAAAAGCATTGCCTCCCCCTCCTCGCCTGCCACTGCCCTCATTAGCATCACACAGAAAAACTGCCAACCAGGCTTCCAGCCTCACTGCAGCCCGGCAACTGGACAGGCCAGCCCGGCTTTGGCAGAGCCCCAACTGAGCAGATGTGGGCCCTGAAGGGTCCTGTGGCCAACCCTGCCCTCCTCCCCCCAAAAATAACCAAGCAAGGCAGCCACCACCCTGTCCTGCCTGCCCCGTGAGCCTTCCTTACATTGCCACACCGTCTGCTGCAGGCGGCAAAGCCAAAGGGAGCCTCCAATCCCTGAATGGCATGAAGGCTCCTAGGGTGATACATTCTGTGGGCCTTAGAGACCTCAACTTTCCCGTCATTAGACCCATGGAGTCAAATCTTAGTACCGTCGGCATCATCCGCCAGGGCAATCCCAGCACAGTGGGATCTCCCTTAGACTGCTGCTTTAGAACACGCCTTTGCCAGACAACAGAATCGCAGCCTCCCGGGACTTCATCCTGAGCAGGGTAAGGCAGGTAGCGCATCAGAGCTGAGGTCCCAGGCCATCCTGGGAGGGGTGGCCTGGGGACTTGGGGTTGGAAATGCCTCTGTCTGTCTGGATCCCACCTACTCAGGGGTAATGGAGAGGGGGCGTGGGAGTGATGAGGAAGCCTGATAGCCCATTGAATACGCAGCTCCCAGGGGGCAGCTGGAGAGAGGGGCGGAGCGCTCCAAGCAGGAGCCCTGGCCAGCCTGTGTGGGAACAGCCAGAGGGCAGAAGGCCTGGCCCCTGGAGATGCTCAGAGCCTGGGACCCCGGAGCACCACTGGTCCCAGACGGCAGAGGGTGAGCTGGGAAGGATTGAGGACCCTGAGCTCGAGGGGTCTCAGCTGGCTGAGCTGTCACGAGGCATGGGATGGGAAAAGGTTTTCCACCCTGGTCCCGTCGCTCCACTGGGTCTCAGAAAGACAGGGGTCTGGGAGGGGAGGGGGCTTGATTATAGGATGACAAAGGGGTAGAGACCAGGCAGGAGGAAGGGATGTTATCTTCAGATTCCCATCTGCATGATAGACCCAGCCAGGAGGGATTATCTTCTCTAAGAATCAGGGAACACGAAATAACAAATAGCCAAACCTCCCTCCCGTAATGTGTGTGTGGGGGGGGGGGAGGAGGGGGAGCCCCTCTAATTTCCCCTCAGAATGGTCTCATCCTAAGGGCTGGGACTGTGGGGTCCTTCTCTGCAGTGATCCTGGCAGTGTTCAGGGCTCCACCCACTATGGGGTAAGAGAACTGGCTCCCACTTGATCTTGGACAAACCACTCATGGTCTCTGACCTCAGCGTTTCCTCACCTGTAGAATGGGAGTGGCTGTCCCCTTGCACTGGGTTCTTGGGGGATGCGGAAGGTGAGACAGCAGACTGAGAGCACATCCCTTGGAGATAAGCTGCTGACACAGAGTGCAGTGAGGCTGACCTGTGGTGGCCCACATCCGCTCCCCCGGTTTCCTGGGTCTGGGATCTGGAGCCCTTGGCCTGGTTCTGCCACACCCTGTTCTTCACTGAGAATCCATGTAACATCTCTGCACTCCGACAGATCAGAGTCTCCATCCACTTCACTCTTCCGGGGGAAAGTGGCACTTTAATAGGTCTATGTTTTCATGAATTCAAATGAAACAAAAGGAAAAGTTCAGTTCTTCAGTGGCAGTAGCCACTTTTCAGATGCTCCATAGCTGCCTGTGGTTAGTGCCCGCCACACTGGGCAGGGCAAATATCGCCCAGGCCCTTCACGACAGAAAGCCCTATTGGACAGCACTGTCTAAAGAATGCCAGTTTGGGAATCAGGAGGCCTAAGTTCTAGCTCCAGTTTAGCTCTTAGTTCATGTTGAGTTTAGACAAGTCCCTTTGTTTCTTAGAGTCTCAGTTTTCCCATCTGTTCAGCCCACCCCCCACCCTGTGCAAGGCAGAGCACAGCCAATGCTTGGCACGGACCTCTTGATACACTGTCTCCCTACTGCCTTGGGGCAGGCCTACTTGGACTTGGGGAAAGAGGTGGGTAGGTGGAGCCCTGCTAATGTGAAGGCTGAGGGACCCACTTGCCATCCTCAGGCTCCAGCAGCTCAAGAAAATACTTTAGAGCCCAGAGCTTGTCAGGCAAGCTTCTGAGTCTTCATGTCTCAGACAATTGTCTCCAGGCAGCAAAGCCAGAGCCAGGAGGGCAGGTCCTGCTTAGGGCTAGTGTGTTTCTTTCAGTGGGCTTACACATACACGGGCCTGAGGGCAGCCTGAAGATCCTAAACTGATCCCTCCCAAACCTGGAGAGAGGTCTGGGCATGGCTTGGGGGAGGAAGCAGACTCAGGGGCTGGTCCAAAGGGGAGGAGAGGCGTGGAGAGTCAGAAATGCACTATCAGCACTGCCCGTCCTCCCCACTTCCTCTCTTCGAACGGATCACATCCTGTTATTGTGTGGACAGAGAAGGCCAGGAGCTGGGGAGGGAGGCAGGGCTCGGACCAAATGAGGGGGAGAACAAGGAGGAGCCAAGAGAATGACACAGTGGGCATTGGGTAGCTCCGGCAGCCCAGTCCTGCCTGACCCTAAGTAGCTAGGACAGGAGTAGGGCACCCAGAAGGAAAGAACAGTATCCCTGGAGCGGCTTGACTCTGCCACCGAGAGAAGATGCTGGGGCTCAGATCAGGCTGTGCCTCACTGCAAAGACTCCTGGAAGAAAGGAAATGGCACCTCCTCCAGGAAGTCTTCCCCAGCATCCTCCTCAAACTCCTTCAATTCAAGAAACATTTACTCTGGGCCTCCATTGCCAGAACCAATCCCCATAAGCCACTGGGTGTGTGTGTGTCTCTCTCTCACAGCACTTGCCTCCAGGGTTGTAATGCTCTGCATCCCTCCCTATACCCCACTTCCATGCAGCTTATGAGCCCTCTAGGGATAGGGACAAGGAAAGGTCCCTTGCTAGCTCCCCAGCTTTGCCCAGCATGGGGCAAGTCCAGAGAAATCCCTGCTGCTGTGACCACTTCTTTTTTTATGCTTTTCCTTTATTCTGCCATTCCCAAGTACAGCCTTACCCCAACCCCGTGCCAGCCATGGGGTTTAATAAAGCTGCTTCCTCCAAAACATAACAACTTAACATATATTGTTTTGAAATCACATGACAGACAGCCTTGTAAGATGAGTGTTAATATCTTCATTTAACAGACAAGGAAACTGGAGCTCAGAGAGATTCAATGCCTTACCCAAAGTCACACAGCAGGTATAGTAAGTGTGCCAGTGTACCTTAAACCCAGGTAAGCCTGACCCCAAAGGGATCTTTCTGTGGCCCAGCTGCCTTCCCTGCTTAGTCCCACCTGTGCTCCAGCCTTTCCCTCCCAGAGCTGACACCACACTGACTGTCCTCACTGCCCCGGAGTCTGTTTTTGAGCTGAACCTCTTGCTGTGGGCAAGCTCTCCAGAACCCACGAGGATCGCCCGTGGCCCTGAGCAGATGGCTGGACAAGCTGAGCTGCCATCTCCCCCACTGCAGAGTGCAGGCCTATCTGCTGTAAGAGCACCAACTCCCTATTGGCTGTTTCTTCTTCTCCTGAGGGCCAATGAGCCACTCTCCCAGTGTACCTTTGGATTCAGACCAGAATTCAAACCCTGGGTCCCTTGGTGAAGTCCTATCCCCTCATTAGGCTTCATTTCCTCCGCTGGACAATGGAGGGGGCCCTATGTGATCTTGTCTTGCTCTTTTCTTATTATGACTCATGATGACTGAGCCTCTGCTGCCTGACACTGTGCCCAGCACCATGGCCTGTCCCCCGAAGGCTGGTCAGAGGTGCTTGCCTGGCTCACACAGGCCGCAGGGGCAGAGCGGGTGTGCTGGATGCTGGGGACAGTTCATTGTTTTATAAGTAGGAAGGAGACAGCGGGCAGCAGGAGGAGGCAAGGCTGCTATGAACAGACCCGATACACAGCCTCCTCATCTTCATCACCCCACCTTACTCCATCCAGGTCCAGTATGATAACCAGAACTGTCACTGGCCCCATACCAGCCCAGGACAGTGGTATTAGGTGGGCACCTAGAGCAGGCATTTTATAGAAGTGACCCTGTCTCCCACCCATTCATCTCCCCTCCACCCTCTCATTCCATACTGCCCTCAAAACCCAGCTAAAACATTCTATATGGGGGAAACTTTTCATTCAACAAATGTAGAACGTGACCTGGGAAAGGTCTGACACAGGGTGAGACAAATCAACCGTGGTTTTTTTTTTTTCCTCCAGGAGCTCGTGTTTGAATCAGGAAGCAGACAAGTGGACAAGCAGCAGGCAGCACAGAACGAAGGAAAGCCTGTGGGGACAAAAAGGAGGTGGCTGACCCCCTAAAGTCTCCTGAATGCTGAGGACAAGTTAACCAGCAGGGAGTGTGGGAGCAGAGGATGGGTGAAAACAAAAAGTATGAGCACTGAATAGTTACAAAAAGAAACAAATGGACCAGAAAGGGTCAATAGGAGCACAGAGAACGAAGGGCAGATGGTGAGAGTGAGGCTGGGAAGATCAGCAGGCCATTCAGGCAAGGCCCCTTCCCTGTGGGGGGCACAGGTTGTCCTGGGAGGCAGAAAGCCTGGTTCTGCCCTGCCTGCCACTGCTGCCATTATTTACGGGACATGTGGCCCTGGGAAGACTCCTTTCCTCTCTGGGCCTCCGTCTTCTCATCTGCAGGTAAGGACACTAGCCCAGATGATCCCCGGGCCCTGGGCAGCCTGGACGTTTGATAGTCTCAGAATCTCTGCCTTGGTGCCACAGAGCTGATGGACTCTTCCTGACCTCTTTGCAGACGGACAGCCTCGCCCGCTCCTGGGAAAGGACCTTCTGAAACAGATGCTCCTCCTTTCCATGCTCCATCCATGACAAGTCAGGCAGATGCCTCCATGCCCCCCTGACACTGCTCTCACCAGTGGCATCAGTGACCTCCACATTGCCAAATCCAGCCCACAAGTCAGGCCTTTTTTTGGACCTCTCAGAGGCACTGGGCTTGGCTCACCCCACATTTGCTTTAGCCTCTGTAACGCCACACTCTCCCAGTGTTCTCCCGCCTCCCCGACTGCTGCCTTGGCCTCCTCTCTCTGTCTCTGTGCCTCATCCATTCACCATTTGCTCCTCAGGCTTGTAAGCAGAGGTCAGATCCTGGGTCCAGGACCCACCCATCACTGTCAGTCACCACTAGGGCCCCAATGATCCCCCTGCCCCAGAGCTAAGACTCACCATCCCACCTGCACAGAGACCTCCTAACACTGGGCTAGGGAGAGACACACAGTCTTCCAAAAACCAAAGATCTTCCCTACAGGCCAGAGCATGACCCCAAGCACTGTTAAGCTTTTACCCCCGTAGCTGCAGTTGGAAACACCCAGGACAGGACAGTCACGATCCAAACCTGGCGAGATGAGTCATCCAAGGGGAGCCAGCATTAGGTAAAATGGACTTCCTGGACTTCCCTTCGTGGCACATCTTTTTTCCTTAATATTAATTGCCTTCTAACTTACCATATGATCAACCCATTTATGGTGATCGTGTATGTCTGTGTTCATAGTCTCCCTATTAGAATTTAAGCAACACAAGAACAGGAATTACTGTTTTTTTCATGGCTGGATCCCCAGTACATAGAACAATACCCAGCTCAATAGAAGTGCTTAATAAATATTTGTTAAATGAAATCAAGAAAGGACTGGTACTCCACTGGAAATGCCTGCCCAACCTACTGGGGGTCCTAAAGATCCAAGGTCCAGCATCCCCATGCAGAGGCCTCCTCAGAACCCAGTGCCCCACCTCTGAAGAGTATTCCCACTCCTAAGTCTCTGTTCGCTAACCCCAAAGCCTCAGCCTCCATTCCTGAGCCCTATGTGAGACCTACACCCCACAACCATCAAGAGCCAGAAATAAGGGCTGCCGCCTCTACTGGGAGCCACCAGGGAACCTGGGAGCCTCCTTTGGTGAGGACTTAATCTGTCTTGAACCTCTGATAAAGCACCTTGCCACCCTGACCATGTGGCTCAGTTGATTAAGCGTCATCCTTCGAAGTGAAGGTCAAAGTTTCGACTCCTGGGCAGGGCACATATCTAGGTTGCAGGTTTGGTCCCAGGCTGGGATGCATATGAGAGGCAACCATCGACATTTCTCTCCCTCTCTTTCTCCTTCCCATCCTCTTGCTCTAAAAACTTAATTATTTTTATAAAGCACCAGACCAACCACGGGAGCTGAACCATACCCGTGGGGCAGCCCTGACTGGAAAGTGTTGGTGCACAAGTGCTGGGAAGAGGCCCCTTCTGAGAGGCCTGGAAGAGGGAAAAGAATGGCAACCCTACTGGGGAAGCCCTCGGAGGGGTAGGATTCTCCCTCAGAGGACAGCTGGGTCCCAGAGGCCCCCATCTCGGGGGAGCCAGGTTCTTTTCGTGCCTTTCCTTTTAATGTCCCAATGCTCAGGCCTATGGGTGCAACATGCAAGCACAAAGTCCAGCCCCCTTTGTAAAACTTTTATTTAGAAATCTTCCCAATATATCCTTATATATATACACACATCATCACCATAGGGGTTTTGTCACTAAAGAGTCACACGCCCACAGTGTTGGCCTCTGGACTGTACAAAGGTCAGGTACCTGGAGCGGTTACTCCTCTTCTGCAGAAAAATGCGGAGACCAACATGATTCATCAATTCATCACGTACAGTACAACATTGAGGGAAAGTGCTGGGCCCGCCCACAGGAGCGCTGCGCTATGTACATGGGCAGGGGCAAGCCTTCGGTGGGGGCCACGTACCATTGACATCACCAGTACGACCAGACCACCCCCAAAGGCCGAGATAGTTGTCGACTGACTACAGACTCTGTGCCCTTGGTTTTGTTTTTGGAAAAAGGATAAAGGTTGTACCATCTTGTCTCTTGCCACTACAAATAAAAGAATATAAATTTTTCTTAAAAGATGGGAGTCCCTCCGGTCATTTTTGTTCTCATTTTTTTTTTACCTTTCCATGTTTTCCCTTTAGTACAGATACTGTTCTTAGAATGTTGCCCTTTTTTCGTGGGTGAGGAGGAAGCAGAGGAAATAGAAGGGTATGGGGGGTGCGGGTGGGAAGGGAAAATACAATATGGATCTTCTCTAGTTCTTACAAAGACCTGAAGCTTTGTGCCTCCCTATCCAGGCCCATTTTAGGCAGTTGCATTACATTTTGCACATTCTGCCCGTGTTCCCATGTGTCTTATCCATTCTCGCTCCTGTACCTTGCCTTGGAATGAGACAGAAACGAAGTCAATCATGAAGAAAGTAGAACAGCCTAGATACAGTAACTCAGGCAAAAACGGTTTAGAACCTAAATTACCCAAAGCTGAGTGGTCAGGTAGACTTGCCCACTGCCTAGCTCCTGGACTCAGGGTGGGAACCCCCGCTGCAAGACTGCCGTTGTGGGCAGCGGGGTTCTTTGTGGTCTCAGGATTCTACTTTCATGGTTCCAGTCAGCCCCCACCAGAGCCCTAGGAGACGGGGAAGCCAGGGTGTGAATGAGAAATTGGCACTGAAAGAGACCATTTGTCCAGGCCACCCTAGTAGTCTGAGAGAAGAGGGAGGCAGGAGCTGAGCCCCCAGTAGAATGTGTGATCCGTCTCTTAAAACCCATGCACCCATCCACACTGCAGCCCCCAGTCAGAGAAACCCACCGGGAAGTACACACACAGCCTTAGGACAGGCACTCTGTCTTCAGGCAGACGGGATTTCTCACAGGAGCTTCCAAGTACCGGAAAGGAACCATTCCTAATATTCACTAACATGATTTTTGGGGGCTGACATGGGACAGACAGTGAGAGTGCTACAGGGTTAACCATGGTGCTCCCATCCCCACGCACTGGACCTCACGACTTAGGAGGAGAGGGAGTGGGGGCGGGGATCATGTGGCTGTACTAGGCTGCACTCGAGGCCCCCGCACGGTGAGGGCCAGCCCTGAGCGGAAACCCAAAACATGTGGGACCTTTCCCAACCGCTGCAGTGCTGGTCCACACTGCCATGGGCAGGGCCGGGCCATCGGATCTTTCCCCTCTGACCTCAAAGGCAGAGCCTGGCTGAGGGCGGCTGGGGTGGCTTGAGGGTACAATGACGGGTGTGCAGGCCTTGTTTGCAGTTTGTTCCATGGGCTTGAAATGCAAGTCACAGGCAGGCCTCACCTTAAGAAAACCATGTCCCATCACTTGGATTGACACAGAAGGTCAAGGAGGGGGCAGTGGTCCACTCTGCAAAAGGATTCTTCACTTAGAAAAAGACTTGCAGTAGTATTCTTTGAAAGATGAAGGATAAAGATTTGACTTACAAAAATGTCATGTACAGCTTTTGGAGGGGGCCACTCCTATTGCATTAAGCCAGCCTCCCGCATACATCTGTGATGACTGAAAGTGACACAGTCGAGGGTGTTTAAGCTTCTGCTAAGTGAATATGTGCATCTGTGAGTCCCAGCTAAGGCCTGGTTTTGGACTGGCTTCCCTGTGTCCTACAAGTGAGACTGGATCCTGGCTAATATCAAGACCTAAAGATCCCACCAATCACTAAAGTCAGAAAAAGTCCCAAGTGCCGGGGGGGGGGGAAACCCCACATGCCAGGGTGCATCCTAGGACAGTTTGTGCTCATTTCGGTTCAGAACGCCAACCAGGACCATTAGCTAACAGACATCCTGCAGCAGGGAGGTTCCTCTGAGCATCTTGGACAATGCACAGACAGGGCCCCCATCAACTGCTGGCCCCAGCACATGCCCACCAGCACACTGGCATTTGCTCACTGCAGAAACAGGGATGTGTAGCTGAGAACAGAGGCAGGTAGCTCTTGAGACACAACCGGCCTTTGAAGCCCATGTGCCCCAAATAGCACTTGTTCAATTTCATCTGATCACTTTTCCCTTCTCTGCCATTACACAAAGCCCAAAGGGCATGCCTACAGCTGCAGACTTGGTCCCCACAGCCACAAGAATTGGGAAGGCAGGTCTCAGTGGGGAGAAAGTAAAGCTTCAATCCTCAGGGCAAGAAGTAAGGGCCACTTGGTTTTCTGACCCTCTGGCCCAAGTAGTCGGGAGCAGGTGGTCCACTGGCCGTCTTTTTCAACCAGGCCCTGAAGAAGGCACCTCGAGGCTGTGACTCTGCAGCAGTTGGCAAGCTGGATGGACCAACGTGGGCCTGGGTGAAGATGAGGCTCAAGAAATGGGCAGCTATTGGGTACCTATATACTTGGACAGTGTGGCCACAAAAGCCACACAGCCAGCTTGGGAGGGGCTAAAGGCAAGGCAGAGGCTGCTGAATACCTCAGGTGAGAGCTGACAACCCCAGGTCTCAGGAAAGACAGGGCTTCCAAGCTCCAGGCCAAAAGCAGTACTGCTCAAGCCTCTTACTTGAGAAGTCTTAAGATTTGGGGAAGGGAGAAGACCGTGCCGTCTTCATAAAAAGTACCTACCACTTTGCTCCACTTTTCTGTTCTCCTACTGAGGTGGGAAATGAAAAAGCCAGCCCCAGGGGCAGTGTGGGCTTCCCAAAGTTCAGGCATCAAGGAAAGCTCATCAAGTCCATTGCCCTACTTCAGAGCTGCCTAATCTTCATCCACCTGCCCAGAAGCCCACAGTCCCAGCGGCCTGAGGGCACCTTCCTGGCTGGCCCAGGATGGCCCCAGACCCATCACCGAGGGCCGGCTCCATCAGTGGCAGGCAGCATGGCAGGATGGAGGCTGCGGGCTGTGTGCTTGGGTGCAGGCTCTTCTGTGTAGCTGTCTGGGCTGGCCACCCCATCCAGGGAGCTGCCACAGCTGGAGTTGGGGGACAGCACATCCTGTAGGAGGTCGTCTGGAGGTGCACCACCGCCTCCTCCCACACCCCCTCCACCAGCCCCCACCACGGGGTCCTTGCCAGGCTTGGCCCGCTGGGTGCCCTCCTCCTCCTGGTCATTGAGCAGCTTGGCCAGGAAGTTGATGTACTTCATGGCCAGGCGGAGGATCTCATTCTTGCTGAGCTTCTTGTCTGGGGGGTGCGTGGGAATCAGCTTGCGGAGCTCAGCGAAGGCCCCGTTCACATTCTGCTGTCGCCATCGTTCCCGGCTGTTGGTGAAGATGCGCCTGACGACTTTGGTATGGGGACCTGGAGGGCACAAGGGCAGGGTTAGGAGAATGAATTTGGAATCTCCCAAACATCTTCTGCTGAAGGGAAGGGGGAAAAAACATCCTTTGGGAAACTTGGGAAACCCAGAATGCCTTCTTTCCAATTACTTAGAAAACTCTTACTCACCCTTCAAAACCCAGTACATCTGTTTCCTCTTCTCCGAGGACTCCTCTCACTCCCTCCAAAGAGATCTAACCAACTGCCACAGCCCTAACATCCCTGAGTCTCCATTACTCTTGATCGTTGCTGTATGCTCCTGTGCTTCTCTCCCTCTCTCTCTCTCTCTCTCTCTCTCTCTCTCTCTCTCTCTCTTTATCTCTGGGAAGTAAGACATTTGAGGACGGGGCTGCTTTTCATTCATTCATTCATTCATTCACTCACTCATTCATTCATGTGTTCACTAACTCACTGGTACCAAGAGGCCATATTACACTAGTTATGAAGACAAACTCTGGAGCCAAATTTTCTGGGTTCAATTCCTGAGTACTACTCACTAGATAGTGACTTTGAGCAATTTACTCAAACCCTCTCTGCCTTAGCTCCATCATCTGTAAAATGGAGATAATACTAGTCACTCAAGTGTAGGATTATCACATGGATCTAACAACTAACACGGGCAAAGACTTTAGAACAATGCCCATCTCAGACTAAACATTTGTAAATCAATGTTAGCTATTATTATCTGTGCATCAATTATTTCCTAAGAACCAGGCACTAAGGAATAATGGTGAACAAAACAGACAGAGTGGCTGTCCTCCTGGACCTTACATTTTAATGGGAATGACAGATGATGAATAAGTAATAAACAGATAACAAACAGACAGGAGACTGAATGCAAATAAACGATGGAAGGGAACTACTAGATTTAGCTGAGTTGGTTGAGGATGGCCTGTTGGAGGAGGTAAGGTAAGAACTTAAGCTGAAGAAGAGCCAGCCAGGCACGGAAAGACAAAATGGCATGTGCAAAGGCCCTGAAAAAGAACTGAAAGCAGCCTGCCTGGGATCATTGTGCATGAGATCAGAGGAGGCTCAGTCCAGTTCCACAGGGCCCTGCAGTAAGGTGTGAGGATTTTATTCAAAGGGTGATGAAAAGCACAGCATAAGGATTTAGTAAACAACTGATCATGCTGGCAGCTAGGAGACTGGAGGAGAAAGCAGAGACCAAAGGGAAAAGGACTTACACTGTGGGCTCTCTCCCCCAGGAGAGGAGTGGAAAGACAGCCATGCACAGGCTCGGCCTGAGGCTGTAGGCAAGCATCTGAGGGCTGCCTCAGTCTACCCATGTCTACAATACATTGATTACAGACTGAATCAATATTCACTGGCATTCATGTGCTAAGACTTGCAGAGCAGTGGCATGTATCCAGTGTGAGTGTATCTAGCACGTATGATATACAAAGCACTGTGTTACATCCAGACCTGACCAGGATTCCCAAAGCCAGGGAAAATAGAGGTGAGCCCTGCTAGTGCTTCCAAGCTCTGGGCTGGGGTGGCCACTTCCCTCCCCATCACAGAGCTGGGCTCCCAGCAGTCTTCAGGAAGCTCTACATATGGAAGGAATTGCCAGTACTGGCATATTTGTTTGTCCTCTTCCTATGACCCCTGGAACCAGACCTCAATATGTGGAAACTTGGGTAGGGGAGAAGAAGAAAGGAAAAACCAAGACATCCCCTGAGACCCACTTCTCATTTCACAGCTAAGGGAGCCAGGACAGAGAAAATCTTGCCCCCAAGGTCAGTCTGTGACCCAGCTCCTCCATGCCAACACTTCCTGCTTGATCGTCTCTCCTACATGTGTGCACGTGCACTCACACACATGTTTTCCTGGGAAAGATCACTCGGCCCCTGCCACGGTGCCTCTGAAGCTGTCCTTCCAAACCCCAACAGGCCCCAGCCCAGCTGACTGTTTGCCAAAGGGCAGACCCAAGCTAGGAAAAACACAGCACACCTGCTAAGTAGCCCTACCCTCGGTGCCTCAGATAACTTGCTGTTCTCTGCCTCCAGGCCAGACAATGGGGAGTCCCTCAGTTGTGACTAGGGAGAACCAGCCCCTGCTCCATGACTCATGGTAGCTGATCTTGAGGGAGCTCCTATATGAGGAGGAGAGGGGAGCTTTGTGACTGCTGTCACAGGTAGAGCTAGACAGGCTCCAGAAGGAACACCTACCCTGGGCCAGTCACTAAAAACACTTTACCCCATTGTACACTTTCAGTAATGTGAGGAAGCTGTTACACCCCTCACTTTACAGATGAGCAAACCAAGGCCCAGAGAAGTTCAGCAACAGAAACCACATCGAGTCCTGACTTTAGACCTTGCATTAGTTCCACTACTATGCATTCTTTTTGGTTAAATTTCTGATTCAAAGTCAGTGGGCTTATCCTGCACCCATGTGCCCTCCCCTTCACCATCATTTCTGTCTATTCTTCTGTAGCTCCTCCCCAGAGAACTACCCACCTCTCCTCACTCTCCTGCCTGAGTCTATCCATCCTGTATGACCTCTGTTTCTCTCTGGCTGGCCACTGAATAGATGCTCAGTAAATATTGGTAACATTATGAGTAATGGCTTCCCTAACCCTCCTGCACTCCCTGCAAACCCTTACGCCCTTCCCATCTCCTTCCTCTCTTCTGTGCCTATTTCTGTTGCTTCTACTCTTCATAGAAAATACCTCTTGCCTGGGGAAGTTCAGGGCTGGTCTTGCCTACTTCCTGTTTGGTACACTCACCTCCCCTCTCTAACCTAACATCACTGACACCCTACCACCCTTCCCTCTTGGCCTGACATCCATGTTGCCCCAAACTGGTTGGATCTTTTGAGGTTTGTTCCTTGTCTAGACTCTATCCCTTTTCTCCAGAAGACTACAGAGAGGTCCCCTCCAAAAGCTCCAGCTCAATGCACATCCCTCCCACCTGTCCTTTGCATGAATCCCAGCCTGGCTTCAAGGCCTCAAGTGTATTTCCTTCAGGAGTCCAGGCCCAGCACTGGGAGCTCCAGGGATTCCCTCCACACCCCTCAGGTCTGAAGAGCTTACTCTCCTGGCCTCCTGGTGCTGGGCCTCATCTCCTACATCAGGTCATCCTTGGGAAGAGGGAAGGGGTCTTCAAATTATCTACTCATTCAACCTCTTCCCTCAAGTTCAGGGCCAAAGACTACTCAGACAGTACATAATAGCTGGAGGCCCTTCTGGGGAAGCAAAGGGGCAGTGTAGAATCTATGATGTCAAGAAGGGAACTTCAGGTCTCTGTCCTGAGTGTGGAACAAGGGACAAGAAAGCCCCACAAAGTAGGGACTTAGAAAGAATTGCACCATGAATGTGCAATTCCAGGCAAGGAGAAGACTCCAGACTCCAAAGAGGTCTTAAAAAGAAGTGCAGCAGGAATCCTTGAGGGTTAGTGCTTAGTTTAGGGGCAACCTGTGTTTCTGTCCTCCCCCAGGATCTTTGCTAAGCATAGGAACAGAGCTATAGTGGAGACCGCAATGGACCCTAAGAAGTGTGGGCTAAAGGCCACAATGTATCTTCGCTCCCATGTCCCCTCTTCCTTAGTACCCACTCAGTTACAAACTTCCAGCATTTGGGGGTTCCGAGGTAGCCTACCCATCCACGTGAGACACCTAGGAGTAGTCCCCATGCCCCCTCCTTCAAGGGATCTAACCAGCACGAGAGGCAAATAACAAAGGTGGGGACAGACAGACTCACCATCAGTAATCTCCATCTCATAAGGGGAGGGTCTCCTCTTCACTCGGTTGTTGGTGGCAAACATAGAGAAGGCATCTGGTTCCCCAAAGAACCCACTGTGGGAAGGAGCAGGCAAATCACAAGATCACACGTAGGGTGGGGGTGAGGCAGAGGCTCCTTCGCAATCCCTCTGCATGTCCTTGAACCTCCCACCCCTGGAAAAACAGGGGCAGCCCTGGTCCCCTCACACCTGAATTGGGGATAGGAGCACGAAACACACACACAGGCGTACACAGAATGCTCCCACCCTCTCTCCGTGGTGAAACAAGCAAGGGGTGGTAGGGTCACATACCCACACACCCCTACACACACACACACACACGCACACACAATCAGAAGTGAACATATGGAACAGACACAAAAAATGAACACACACCCCACAAATAGTCATACTCCCTTCCCCCAATACAATCACATAATCTATAACCTCCACTCTCAAACAGGTGCTCACACCCGTAGACGTGACCTTCTCACTCGGTGCTGTGCAACTCTAGCACCACAAAAGAGCACACTGTCCCCTCCCCACAACACCCCACTTCCACCCTGGTCCCAAGGGGCCTGTGGACAGACAGACAACAGACAGGAAACCCTAACCCCACATGGCTGCCATGCCCCCTCCGTCACCCATCTGGGGCTTTCTATAGCTGTTTTCTGGAGTCTCCTGCAGACTCTTGGAATGACCCACACTCTGCATCCCTGCCTCATCCCCCTGTCCCCACCCCAACCCCACCACCATCTCTTCACCAGCTTCTCTGGCCTTGGCAGGGAAGTGGACACCCTCACACCAAGGGGTGGAAAAGCTTGGGGCCAGAGACCACAGCTGGGGACAGAGGGGCTAGACAGAAGAGGAAGTGTTCCACTCCCAAGGCAGGGCCTGGATCAGAGATTTTGGGTGCAGAGGAGAGGGCCTGTTTCCAACCACCCTCAGACACTTCTCTCTTACCTGTCCCGAGAGGGCGGCTGCTTCCAGAAGGACTCACAGTGGAGCACATTCAGACACACTCTTGCCTGGTACTCACATTCAAGAAACTCCCTCCTGGAGTCCCTTACCCCGAAACCACAGGACTCACCCTGCTTCTGCGCGCCCACGGCCACAGGCCTGCACTCCGCCTTCGCGGCTCCCCCACCCCCGGGCGCGCTGCAGTCACAGGGCATCCCACATCTGCCCGCGCCGGCCCACGCACACGCTCCCACACACGCTCACAGCGAGCTCCTTTCTCACTTGCACACGGGGACCCCAGCTTCTAGGCTTTGACGCCCATGAGTTTAGAACACCCCTTCTCTTCCTGAGCTCCAGTCAGGCAGCCCACGAAGAGCAGACGCCGGTGACCGCCCGCCCGCAGCGCCCTCCCTCCGGGCGCTTACCTGCCGAGGGTCGCCAGCGGCTGGCTCAGGCTGTAGAGCAGCGTGCGGCCGGGGCCGGCCGGGGCCGCCAGCGCGGGCGGGCTCAGCTGCACCATCCGGCCGTCCCCGGTCAGCTCGGCGGGTGCCGGAGCGGGCGCGGGCGCCGGGGCGGGCCCCGGAGGTCTGCACAGCTCGGTGGTCGGCACCCGGTGGCGCGCTTCGGCCGCGGCGGCGTCGCGGCCCTTTAAGTCTCGCACGGCGCCGCCCCCACCCGCGGGGCCGCCCCCCGGGCCGCCGCGCGCTCCCAGCTCGATCACCGGGGGCTCGGCTGGGGTAGCGCGGCTCGTCTCCTTGGCGACGCCGTTCAGCAGGACCAGGTGCGGGGGGGCCATGCGGGCCTCGGCCGCCTCCCGTCCCTCCAGCGGGGGGTCACTGCGTGCCGCCTCGCTGGGCGGCTGCTCCGTCATCCTGCCGGCAGACAGACAAACAAGCGGACGCCCGCTCTAAAAACCAACCCCAATCCACTGACGTGGGTGGGGTAAGGGGGTTAAGGCAGAAGGAGAAACTCACGCACCGAGACGTGAGAAAAGGCGACAAACTTAGAGCCACATCGACACACACTGGCCCTCTGGGCCTAAAGCCCAAGCAGGGCTGGGGAAGCTGGGATGGGTGGGGGAACTCTGGTTTGGGAAAAGAGGGAAGGGTGCCCGAGAGACACTGAGACCGAGGCCGAAAGGACAGACAGAAAGGGCCGACAGACACCGTGGAAGAAAAGGAATACAGCGTCGGAAGACAAACAGAAGAGGGGAAAGGAGGAAGGAAATGTAGAAAGAGGCGAGAGAGAAATATCACCACCACCACCCAGTCCCCCTTCTCAAGCCGCAGGGGAAGAGGAGGGAGCAAATCCCCGACCGAGTTGCTCCCGCCCCTCTTTTGGTTTTGGCGGGGAATCTGTCCCGAGGAGGTGGGGGCTTTAAGAACCTCTCAGCGATACCGCCTCCAGCCTACCGCCGTACACACACCTAGAAACCTGGTGGGTTGCAAGCAGGGAGATTAAGGAATGGAGGCTACAGGACTTGGGGTCCCCTCTCCTGGAGCTGCCAGAGAACCAGCACCCCTTTCAACATGTATTCGCCCGCGTCGGGGTGTCTGTCTACACTAAGCAGGCCCACGTTGTATTCTGTGCAGTCGCTGAAAACCCCAGCCACCCTCTGCCCCCACCGAGACGGTAGATGAAACATCTGGAAGGGAAGATAAAAATCCTGGCCCTACTTCCCTGCACGCTCCACCCTCTCTGCTCACCTGCACTCAGAGGTGAGGTGGGGTCTGGAAGGGTGGGCCGGCTGAGGCCGTCAGGAGCCGGAATATTTAAAGGGTGCCCCTGAGGTTACTGGGGTCTGGCCTCCCACCCGAACGTGGGAAGGGGTGTCATAAAGGCCCTTGCACCCTTCCAGCACTCCCCTCCCGCCGTTCTGCCTTGGCCACGTCCTCTGGGAAATACCTCCTCATGCATTTAAAAGCACTGAGCGACAGCTCAAGTAAACATTGTTATTGACTTGAAGACTGGGCCTTGCCCCAAGTCCTACTGATCTGTGGAACTCTGGTCTCATTCTGCCTACACTCTCCTCCATATACGCAATCCCATGTACATCCCTGGAGCCAAGGACACTCCTCTCCTCCACAACCATACTCCAGGATGACCACAGAGGCTCCCCTGCCCCACGAGCAGTTTCTCCCATCACCCTGCTTCAATGCCAGTGGAGCCAGGCCCCATCTAGAGCTAAAACAAAAACAAAACAAAAAAAACGTGAAACTCTAGGCCCAGAGGTTGGAGATGCTTGTAAGGTGTTTTATTTAAAAAACAAACAAACCAAATTCAGCAGGCTTCATAAGCTGTTCAAAATAAGTTTCCCGTTTTCAGAATTCTATAATTGGGTTATTTTGTAGCAGAAAATAAATACACGACTATCCAATTCACCCCCAACCAGAGTCCATCTAATCATTCGCGGCAGCCATTGAGCTCGATTCTGCCACTGCAGTGCTCAAGACGGAGGCGGCCTGGGCGCCATCCTCCCAGACGAGAAGAGAGACTGGATGGACTTTCTGAAACCTCTTCTTAAGCTCAGCTCAGTTGCCACGAGACACACAAGCCCACAGAGAATCACCATTCAGGCTGTGCTCCTTCCCTGGGTCTGCCAACCCTGAGGCCGGGCCCAGGAACAACAGAATCCACCGAGACCGGGTGCATATGAGCTGCAAAGGCAGTGGGTCCACAACACTTCCCTGGAAGCGAGTTCATGATTATGGCGGAAACAATAGATCTGTATCCACAGAATGGGACTGACAAGATAGTGCGGCCACTAGAAATGTGCCCAAGGAATACCTGCAGGCCCTCCTGGTTCCTCTGCAGCAGTGAAATGCACCAGAATATACTATTCTGCATCGAAACACACACGCCCCAAGGTGCTGGCTCCCTACCTTACTGTCCCAACGCGTGCTGCGCCCAGTGACACGTGCTTCAGCCCCAGTTTCTAACCGAGAGACAGACGGCATGCACTGCAACCGGACTGAGCTCAGGCTCTCCTTATGACACATTTATACCCTCTGATTAATCCCAGGGCTCCCCCAACCGAGCGTAGGAGCAGATCCTGGAGGAGTAAGGGGAGTACATATTCCATATAAGTTGTCTGTGGCCCCAAATCCTCTGCCAGAGACCTATAAATATCTGTATCTCCCAGGCTCCCTGTGGGAAACCTAGGATTGGTCCCCAGGGCCTGTGGCAGACCACTCCCTGCCTGGCCCTCCCCGGAACTCAGGAAAACCAAGCGGGTTCTTCTGCAACCCGCATCACCCAGGCCAGAAACCCGTGCCCCAGAGAATGCCACGGGAGACTCACAAACACCTCGCGTTGTCGGTTTTCAGGAACTAACCGCATCACTTGGCTTCGTTTAAGATTACTAAAGGGAAAGCCTGAATGATTTTCGTTTATTTGTTTTTATTTGGGAAAGATGAGGGAAGGGAGAGAAGGTTTCAAACTGAATGGCATTAGCGAATTCGACGATTACAATTCATCTGTCTTTGTGCAGCCAAAACCCAGCTCCCAGCACCCGACACCGGATTTTCACTTTTGTTGCGAGCGGCCAGAACGTTTCCGTGAGCCCGAACAAGTCCGGGGACCCGGGAGCTTTGAGGGGGTGGAGGTGGCGTCGGGTGTCAGGCAGCTCCCAATTCTGCAACGAAGAGTTTCTTACACTAAATGAGCCCCCGGGGTGCCTGGGGCTACAGCCACCGCCCCAGACCCGGCTTCCAGACCTCCCAGTGCACTCACACCCGCACACCCTGGGGGAGCGCCAAGTACGCTCGCTCGAGACCCCGCAGTGCCAGTGAACAGAACCACTTCCCCCTGCTGCTAGGGGAGTGAGGGGAGCTCCGGCGCCGCACCCTAGGCCTGCAGCCCCGGCCAGGGCCCACCCGAGTCGGGAGGGCCCTCTCTAGCCAGGATGGCTGAGGCCTTCTTCCTGCTGCCAGGTCCTCTGGCGCCGGCGGCCCGCGCCACCCGGACGCAGCCTCCCCCGAGTTGGGAGCCTTGGGCAACGTCCACGGAACCGATGGGAGCGCCCTGCGGGACTAAGGTCCTGGTTTTATTAGTTGTAAAATAAATAAATAAATAAATAAATAAATAAATAAATAAATAAATAGCTTCTGTTTTGGGGTTTTTTTTTGATTGTTTGTTTTTTAACCAAGGGTAGAAAACGGGAAGGGCCCTGCTGGAAGCCACGGAGGGCAAGGTCAGGGCGCTGTCAGATGCCGGACACCCAGCTCCAGGTTCGCCCTCCCCTCCTCCCGGTTCCCCGGCCCCACTGTCCTCTGTCCTGAGCCTCCCCCACCCAGGCCGGAACCCAAGGCCTTCTCGGACACAGTTTCCACGGAGAACGTTCCCCCCAAACTCACCTGGGGCATAGTTAGAGAGGCCGACCCCCTGCACAGGATCTCCACTCCGCCGCCGGACACCGGCGGGAGCCCAGGTCCAGGTCGCGGACGCCGGTCTTTGCTTCCCCGGGTCTGGCCGAGAGACCGGCAGTTAGGCCGCGGCGTGGTCCTGGGCGGTCTGCCGCGCCCAGACCGAGTTTCCAGGAAAGATGGGGGTGGAGAGAAAAAGGGAGGCGAGAGGGAGGGAGGGAGAGAAATGGGGGTCAGTGGCTGGGAATTACCTCACGTCCTCGCCGGCGAGCCCAGGGGAGTCGAGAGCCGCTTTCCGCCCCCCCGCCTGCAGGTGTCCGCAGCCTCCCCCAGCCCATAGAAAGACCCTACACCTGACCAATCAGGAATAGCGACCCAGTCCGGCCAAGACAACAGCCCCGACGCAGTCCTCCCGAAACGCTTGCGGACCCTCAAAGCAGGACGTCCGTCTCCGCGAGGCCGACTGTGCGCTCTCAGCACCGCGTGTGGACGAGGCCGGCTCGGCAGCCGTCAGGCCGGACCAGAGGCCGCAGCGCACGGTCGCCCGCAGCCCGGCCTCGGTGTGTGTGTGGGGGGGGGGGGGGGGGGGGCTCGTGTGGAACGTGTGTCAGAAAAGGGGAATCCAGTCTTCAGACCGTGGTCCGTGGAGCAGAACCTCCGAGCCCTCCGTTCTCTCCGTGCCCCCCACCTGCCCATCCCCAGCCCAAAGCGAAACCAGAACGCAATTCAAAGACTGCTTTCGCGCAGGAATGGAGTCGTAACCTCAGGGATCCCGGAGGAGGAGGGGTGGTGGTGGTGGTATCTGATCTACCCAGGACCGTTTTTTCTTCCCATTGATTAAGAAAAAGGGGGGGGGGGAGAAGAAGAAGAAGGAAGGGAGGAAACGAGGACAGAAAAAGACTTTAATTTGGGCATGGCTGCAGGACGCAGTGTGCAGATGGTGTTGTATTGAGTTGTAAACCTGAAACCTATATGGTTTTACTAACCAATGCCACCCTAATAAATTCAATTTTAGGAAAAGAAAGGAAGGAAGGCGATCACCAGTGCCTCAACCGTCTCTACACAACGAATTTCGATTTCTCAGTGTTCAGAACGGCAAGGAAGGGGAGAATTCTAATAATTCCTCGCAGCGATAAATGAGGCAAAGAGGAGGGCGAAAACAAACCCACTGTTGCTTTCCAGCGTGTAGGGGTAGCAAGATTTAATTTGCTCCCCCCCCCCTTCGGAAGGTTTTGTTTATATCTTCCAGCCTATATAGGGTCACTCATGGAGATTTTGGATTAATTGCAAACCTTTTTGCCCCGATTTTGGTGGAAATACAGGAATAATTACTCCCTGAGGTTTCAGTTCAATGCGGGAGATTTTCTTTCTCTTCTAATCCACAGGGCAGAGGGGTGGAAAGAAGAGGAATCCGCTCATTCCCGGTGTCTTACGTCGGGACTCGCTTTTTGCTGTGTGACCAGTCCCTTTCTCCCCCAACCCTAAATCCAGGAACTTAAATTAAAAAAAAAAGAGAGCGAGAGAGCTGCTGTTGGGGGGTTGGGGGGTTGGGAGGGAGCCTCCCGGCTTTGTTATGGGTCCACAGGAGCTAAAAGGAAAAAGCCGCTTTACTTCTGGACGATTATTTTAATTAATAAGACAATGGCGAGGACATTAGCAACCACTGTAGCTGGAAAACAAAACCCTTTCCTTCGGACCTGAGGCAGCACTGACCTCGTCCTTTCAAGCCCGGCCCGGGTCAGCGGTACGGCGGGTGCCCGACCCTGGCGGGAAGGTCGCTTACCCGGGAGGGGTGGGGAAGTGTTCCTTGGAGGTGATCCCGAGGGCCCCCACCTGAGGCTCGAGGCTTGGAGAATGCGCGCATTGTCTTTTCCGGGCTCTACCGCGGCCCCCCGCGGTAGTGCGCACGAAACCGACCGGGACAAACGCCGAAGCGCGGCGGGGACCCAAGCCCGCAGCTACTCGCAGGGAGGCGAGGACCTGGGCGGGCGCTGCTCAGCTTGGAGCGTGGAAGAGCCTCCCACGCATCAGCAAATCCCCAAAACGCGGAGGCACAGACTGGCCTCCGGACAGAGCAGCCACCGATCGACCTCCGGCTGTCCATCCACGCCAACAGTGGCTTCCGAATACCTCGTAAGGTGGAATAAAATGTGAAATCCTTCTCCCCGCTCCCAGGCAGCCCCCTCAACTAGCGCCTCCACCTCTCTCACGCGTTCCCTGCTGCTGGCCAGCGGTGTGCAAATGCACTTCGAAAGGACACAAGCACACAGTCACACAATCCAGGGGACAGGACCACACACTGCCCAGCCCCGTGGCAGGGAGACAGCCCCACTCTGCCCCACAAACCGACGTGGTCGGACCCGTTCATTGTCCACTATAACACAACGAAATCAGTCCAGCGCAGTCGCTCGTGGACACACAACTCCACCTAGTCTAGATTACACACGCCCAACACAAGAACGGGACCACCCAGACAAAATCTCAAAGGCCGCACAGTCCACACACAGACCAAGACCCGTGTCAAGAGGCCAAACTAACGTCATTATAGGCAATGATGAAAACGCAGAAGAGCCACCGAGATCTCGAATCCACACACCCAAACCGCGCGAACACCACCCCACTCGGACGCACACCCGATCGCCAACAGCACCACACTCGGGAGAAGCCCACGCTGCCCGCCGCCGACACACGCGCCCTCACAGTCCCACCGCACGCACACAACCACGAAGAAAGAATGGAAACCAACCACCGCCTCGCGCGTTTCTGTATATTGCGTAAGGAAAAGGGGAAGGAAGGAAGAGAGTCTCTGAGACGGGAGGGGCGGCGGCGGCGAGCGCGACGGCGTCCGTGGAAAATGCCCCCCATCTAAAGAAGCCCAGGGAAGAGGAGCGCAGAGCTCTCCGGAGAGCAGAGAAACGAGAGGGAGGAAATGGACGGGGACTCCCAGGAGGCCGCAGGTGGCTTCCCCACAGAAAAAGGCCAGAATGCTCACGTTTTGCAGCTACGGGGGGACGCGTGTGGCCATGCTGAGGCCTGGGCCTCTGTGCGGGGGGCCTCCCCCGCGCCCGCCCCCGCGCGCTCGCGCAGCGCCCCCGGCTGCTCCGCCGACTCGCTCTAATCCCGCGCACGTTCCAGGCCTCGTTAGCATGGGCCGCGGCGCGCCCGGGCGGTGTGCGCCGCGGAGATAAGGCACCGCCGCGGGTTCGCTCGCCCTCGATAAGCGCCTCGGCCATTATGGGCCAAATGATTCATTTTAATTTGGCAATTTCACCGGAGGGAGTGAGGACTGGCTGCGTGGGGCTGGGACCGGCTCCGGAATGCGCCTCACGGAAAGTCGGACGTTCTGTCTAGGACCCGAAGGGTCGGGCCCCATTTCTGATCTCGAGGCCTCTCGGAAAAAAAGCAGGCTCCCGGGCTTTCCAGACGCCTTCCGTCAGCGACTCCCCTCCCAGTGCTCCGTCCCTGCCTCTGAAGCCCGGGACACCGAAACCATCACTCCTCACCCTTTCTTGCAGCCCCATTTTACTCTCTCCCCAGTGTCCGAGACACCCCGATTTCGCGGGGCAGCTACTCCCTGAAATCCCACCTGTTCCAGCCTCCCCTCTTCCCTTTCCACCCTCCCCCCCACCCCTCCCCGCTCTTTTCTGCTCTAAAATGCAGCCTGCTGGCCAGGAACGACACGGGCTGCGCTCGCACCCAGGGCTCTATGGAGGCAGAACTGGTGCCAGTGGAGAGATGAAAATGTCCATTCTACTGCGTTTCACGCAAAGCCCAGAGCCCAGGAATATCCCTCATCCCATAATATTTCAAACGTTTTAATCTTGCTCCTGAAGCACGGTTCTAAGCACTCTACAAACAACTCATTTAGTTCTTCTAAACAATCCTAAAAGGCTGGTGCTAGATGAGAAAACCGAGGCACAGGGAATAATAGTGACTTTTCCAATGTACCATATCTAGTGAGTGGTGGAGCAGGGGTTTGAAGCAAATTGTGCAGAGTCCTCTCCAGAGCCCAGCTGACGAAGAAGGACAGCTGGGGCCTGGGCGTGGAGGAAGATCTGGGCTTCACTGGTTGAAGGGAACAGGATCTGTACTGTGGGGTAGAAAGCTGGGTTCAGGGAGGTGTAGGGAACTGGAGCTCAGCCCCCGGAGGGTATCCGGGTTCTTTCTTTTATGGTGGAGTGATAATAGCACAGGTTCAAATCTTACAAGTCCCTTAGCCTTGAACCTCAGTTTCTTTGTCTGTGAAAGGTAATGCCCACCTCACAGAGTGGTTGCAAGGATTGAATAGAATGATCTTTAAAAAGTGATGGCGAGGACAGTAATCTATGAAATCTCACCCAGCCCAGAGCCCAGATTACATCATAGGCACTTGTATGAGAGTTCTAGCTGGTATTACAGAGAAAGAAATTAAGGCACAGAGAGATGTGACTTGGCCAAGCTTGAAACGGCCTCGGCACAAAAACCAAGACCCAAACTCAAGTATTCACTTCCCAATCTACAGCTGAACCCACAATGCCTGGCCGCTTTCTATTTCCGGAACCTCTGGTTTTGAGCTCCTTTTGGGAGCTGAGAACTAGGGAAAAGGCCTTTGCCTGATCACAGACTGAGTCCCAGTGGAGGACTGAGCCCAGAGTGCGGCTGCGGTCTGAATGGTCTGAGTGCCGGCTCGCCCCTGGCTATCCAGACAGCTCCCCATGAAGACTCGGTTCATTCAGCGCAGCCTGTCTGTCCCCCCTGTTCCTCTTGCGCTCTTGGTGGAAGTCAGGGTGTCATGTGGGTAAAGGTTACTTTTACAGAACCCCACGCAGGAAGGGCCATCCATGTCCTGAGAAAAAGAGTGCAATTCCACAAGGCCTCCCCTGGCCCGGCTACACCCACTGCGGAGAGGGGACGCTGGGGAGTGGCTTCTGTGATTTGCTCGGCCCCACTTCTCTCACCCGTAGCTGCAGCCTTGCCTCTTCTACAGCTGTGAACTCTAACTCTCCTTCCACTGCGTCTTAGCTTCTGCTGGTCCTCTCCTCGCATCCATCCTTCCAGATTCACCTGATGCCACTTCCTGCCTGAAGCCTTCCTGCGAGGGGCTGGCTTTCCTCTCTCCCTGTTCTGGTCTCCAGTGCCTTTGCTTGGCTGTATCACCTCACATTGGGTTGGCCAAACACTTCATTTGTTGTTTTCCATAAGACGTGTCTAGTAGTGCTTAACGGTCTTTAACTTCATTGGAAATAATTTTGTTAGATTGTATTGCGACAGCTGTCATATCAGTGTGTGTTTTTTTAAATCAACATTGACGAATTTTTCTGTAGCTATTTTAATATTGAAGGTGGAAGAAAATAAGCAACATTTGCAGCATATTATGCCTTTGTTATTTTATGAAAGGTATACACGCAACTGAAATACAAAAGAAGGTTAGTGCAGTGTATGCAGAAGCCGCAGTGACTGATTGAATGTGTCAAAAGTGGTTTGCAAAGTTTCGTGCTGGAGATTGCTTGCTGGACGATGCTCCACAGTCAGGTAGACCAGCTGAAGTTGATAGCGATCAAATCGAGACAGTAATTGAGAACGACTGACATCATACCATGTGGCAGATAACTGACACACTTAGGGTATCCAAATCAATAATGTTATTGGTGAAAAAGAAAAATGTCTTTTAGTTTACAGAAAAAAACCTGACAGCCTTTTTTGGCCAACCCAGTAGAAAGGGTTGGAGTCATGTAAGTCTGAGGGCCCTGCGCTGCCGCCCGTGGCTGTGGCACCTTTGGGCGAGTCGTCTCGTGTCTGTGAGCCCCTGGCCACTCCCGCGTCAGAGAGCCCAGCCAGGGCCCGCTTCCCTGAGAAATGATGCCCGGACTCGGAACTGAGAGTGGGAGCCGAGGGTGGGTAGAAGAGTGAGCATCAGGACCCTTCCAGGCGGGTCAAGGGCCAGAGCAGAAGGGCCTCGTGGGGACAGAAAAGAATCCCGTAAGGCTGGAGCAAGTCTTGAGCAGCCTAAGGACAATTCAAAGGATTCTGAGAGAACCCTTTTATTTATTTGGTTTGAGGGTAGGCGTAAAGGTCCTAAAGATCATCAGATTTGCATTTCTAGAATGTCTCTGGCTGTGAGGTGAAGAAGAGGTTTGTGGGGTGGGAAGGATGTGGGGAGACCAGTTCTGAGGCCAGTGGTGTGGTCCATGGAAAGGGGATTGGAGTGTGGACTGGGGTGCTCGCAGAAGACATGGCAAGAGGCAGACCGAGACGACATGTATTTAGGATAGAAAACCTGTTTTGAAAGAATTAGGGAGGTGATGGGGAAGGAGAACTCCTGGAACCAGGGGTGGGGTGGGGTGGGGGTGGGGGGGTAGAGGTTTTTCTGGTTCTCCTTTCCTTAGATAGTTGCCTGGAGGCCAAGGGACATGGGGAAGGATTCTGCACTTAGCTTTGAATTCCGACTTTAGTTGCCTATGAGGTACCTACAGTCGGTTGTCTTATCTTACAGGGCAACGACCCTGCCCAAGAGCTGTGGGGAGAACAAGGGACTCGGGCTCTTGTCAGCCCTGCTGCGCCACCCCCTCTACTTGTGTTGGCCTGCTGGTCCTAACCTGTCCTACAGCCGCCTCCTCCCCACCCCTCCCCCTCCCCCTCCTCCCCCCTCCCCCCTCCTCCCCCTGCCTGGGACTGGGGGCCCGTGACGTCTACAGCCTCCCCCTTCCCTGTTTCCGACGGACGGTGGAAAAACGGAAACTGGGAGCTGAGCCGGGCGCCGCCCGAAATAGCATCTGGTGCCTGTCGG